GTCTTAAAATAATAACAAGTCTACAGGTGGATACAAGGATAGACACTCCAACTAGCAGGGAAGGGAAGGCAAACGCGACTGTACCTATCAATATCGAGAGATTTTACAGGATATTTCTACCTATGTGTTTCTTCTGTGTGGTAGAGTCCTGGTGTGGCACTGCAGGATAATGCACTGAACTGTAAGGTTGGTTTGAACTGCAAAGTCGACAATTCAAATCCATCAGATGCACCTTGGAAACGCTATACAGGGTCGCTATGAGTCAGAACCAACTCAACAGTACTTAACAACAACATTTATATGTGCTACATTTCCAGTAGGACATATAGGGGATAAAATTATGAAATTTTCTTATCCATAACCAAACACCTTGAGGAAATGAGTCACTGAACCTGGGGGCTCAGCATCATAGGCTCAGGGAACACTAAGGCCAAGACAGTCTTCTACAGCCTAATTTGATGAGTAGTAACTAGGATTTTAAAAGCTTGCAAGTGGCAACCTAAGGTGTAACAATTTGTCTTTCCCTGTCTGGGGTATAAAAGAATGAAGAAAATTGAAGCTGTATAGAAACTAATAGTTCAAAGGGTTAATGATGGTGAGAACCTCAGCCTCCATGACTCTAAAACAAGAAGAATGAGAAGACACCTGGCTGCCATTACTGATCACTGTGAAAGGAATCTCAACAGAAGGTCCTGGATAGAGTAGGAGAAAAAAGTGGGACAAGACTCAAAATAATGAAAAGAAGACCAGGTTTACTGACCTGCTATAGCTTAGTGGAACCCCTGAGACAGTGGCCTGAAGTCATCCTTCCAGCCTGGAACTGAACTCACTCCTGTGACTCAGCTTTCAGCCAAATAATAGACAGGCCTCTAAGGTAAACAATGACACCAGTGAGATACGCACGCCTTAGAACAGTCAACCAAACAAGATCAAAAGGTTCAGGAGGCAGTAAGATATAGGAAAGAAGGACAAATGGCAACAGGAAGTACAGAGTGAAACTGGGACAATGGCTGTTACATTGTAGGTATTGTAATCAACCTCATGAAACAAAATGTGTAAGAATTATTGTATGGTAAACCAATTTGCTCTGTAAAGTTTCACTTAATGCACAATAAAAATTTTTTTAAAAAAGAACAGAAAGTTTAGAATTTTACAAATTTCTAGTTTCTGTCATTCTTTTGTATCTTCTCAATTAAAAATTATTGCTTCCTCATTGATTTATCCCAATATCTCTCCATTTATTTACATAAATGGGCCTCATGCTTGAAATCTTGCAGCTATCATTTCATTGGTTTTCTTCTTCCAGCCTATGTCACCTTAAAGTGATCATACCCATAGAATCCAGTTTCTGAAAGCTCAGCTTCTGTCTATTTAAGATATGTATTACATGCCTGCCTAAACCATTAACGTTGTTGTTAAGTACTGTGGAATTGGTTCCGACCCATAGCGCCACACCAGGACTCCCTTTTATCTTTAAGAAAAATGTAACTTTATTCATCTAAATATATCATTTCATGAGTTTGTGTGCCGTTAATTTTCTTACATACTGTACTTTTCTTGTCCGTGCTAGTATATACTCCTCATCTATTCAAGATATGTATTAGCATATACAAGGAGCTCCAGTAGCATTGTGATTACAAGTTGGGCTGCTAACCTGAAGGTCAGCAGTTCGTTGAAATGGGAGAAAGATGAGGCTTTCTGCTCCTTTAAAGATTTACAGCCTCGGAAACCCTATGCAGTGTTGCTATGAATTGGAACCGACTCCACGGCACACCACACCTATTACCATATAAGGTATGGAGTCCTGGTGTAGCGCTGTGGGTTAAGCACTGGACCACAAGTTCGATTTGAACCTCAAGGGGTTGTTCATTCCAACCAAAGGCTCTTCAGAAACCCTATACAGGGTAGTTATGAGTTGGAACCGACTGGAAGGCACTTACCCACAACAACATATAAGGTATATGCTAATATAACCTTCATCATGTCAGTGCTTCTATACCCTCATGTATTTTCTCGACAAGTCATGTTGTTGTTAAGTGCCTTCGAGTCGATTCCGACCTATAGCGACCCTGTATAGGGTTTCTAAGGAGCAGCTGGTGAGCTTGAACCACTGACCCTGCAGTTCAAACCAACTTTGCAGTCCAGTGCATTAACCCCCAGCACTACACCAGGACTCCTTGTGGTTGATGATGGTGGTGGTGGTGGTTATGTGCTGTGGAGTCGGTTTGACTCATAGCAACCCTATACAGGGTTTCCGAGGCTGTAAATCTTTACAGGAGCAGAAAGCCTAATCTTTCTCCCATGGAACAGCCGGTAGTTTCAAACTGCTGACCGTGAGATTAGCAGTCCAATTCTTAAACATTGTGCTACATGTCATTAGGCCTGTTTTATATGTTTTGTATTTGTGTGTGTCTCATTTCTCCAACTGACTTGTTAATTCCTGAATGTAAAGATGGAGACTTTCTGAGCCCATTACAATAGTACCTTGCATATTGTTGTGAAGTACCGACGAGTCAGTTCCGACTCATAGCATTCCTGTATAGGATTTCCAAGGAGTGGCTGGTGAACTTGAACCATCCACCTTGCGATTCAAACCAACCTTGCATTTCAGCACATTAATCCGCAGCACCATATGGCACTGTGGAAAAACATAAACGAAAATTTGCAGTTTTAAAGTCAACATATAATTGTAATTCTATATTTTGTGTGTGTGTGTGTGTGTATGTGTGTGAATTTAATAAATGTTAGACAATAATAGCCTTTTCTATTATATTCTTTAATCTCTTTAATTACACTTACAATTCTAAGTACAGTCTTGTGTCGCTTAATGTACACGATATGTTCTGTAGAATAGGACATTATGTGATTTGGGTGTTGTGTGAACACCATATGAGGGGGCTTCAAAAAGTTCATGGAAATATTCTTTTATCTTTCAATTCCATTTTTCCTATAAACCTTTTGAAGCCCCCTAATATTACATACAAATGTTGTTGTCATTAAGTGCTGTTGAGTCGGTTCTGACTCATAGTGACCCTGTAGAGAGTTTCCAAGAAGCATTTGTTGAGTTTGAACCACCAGCCTCTCGGTTCAAACCGACCTTGTGGTCCAGTGCTTATCCTACACCAGAACTCCTTATATACAGATAGTCCCAAGCTTATGAATGAGTTCTACTCCTAAATCTGCTTTTAAGTCATATTTGTATATAAATTGGAATAATTAGGTATGATACATATTTAATGTCAGAGAGGCAAATGTTTGTATTAGTATATAGTATAAAGTGTACTTTTCTATGTATTTTTTTGCCATTGTTGTTAAGCGCCATCAAGTCTGTTCTGACTCATAGCGACCCTTCATAGGGTTTCTAAGCAGCAGCTAGTGGGTTTGAACCACCAACCTTGTGGTTAGCAGTCCAATGTTTATTCTATAGCACCAAACCAAATAATATTAAATAAACACTCCAGATACACTCAAATCTTTAACATAAGAATACAGTAATAATAATGATGTTTTGATATGCATCACAAAGTAGCACTTGTTTGTTATTACAAACCATTGAATGTCCCTCAAACTTTTAATATAATAGGTTTTGCAGAGATAGGAACCATGGAAGTATATGAAGTCAGACATTTTCTCAGTGGGTGTTATGCAGTGCATAACTATACTGGGATAGTGTTCATAATTTAAAATATTTTGAAGAAATGAGACTCATTTAGTCTCTTGAAAGATATTGAAAGTCTACCCTGAATTAAAATAATATACTTATTATCATATTAGGTTTTTTAAAATAAAAGCAGTATTTGAGAAATTATTATGAATGTCCATGATTTATTATATTGTTAGTGGTTTTGATGGGGATAAACAAAATATTTATAGATTACAAACACAAGAAAAAACATACAGATTAACTGCCTATTTATCTTGCCTGATGGACTAAATATAGTTGGAGATTGTTCATAATATTGAATAATGATACAAGGAAAAATTTTCATGAACTTAAATATTAAGTTTAAAATACTATACTTATTCATGATTTTGTTTGTAGTTTTGTACATTGAAATTGCTACTTTTGATGGAATTTGAAAACATTTCTTTGTTTTACTTCCCCTTCGTGCTTTCTCTTGTCTTAATAGTGTAAATATTTTTAAATGTTCATATGTTTCTTTATCTTTTGTTTAATTTTATAACTATTTTATGATAAATATATTTTACTTTAATGTAAAAATTATTTTAAACTATATTCTCTGTAGGGCTTGTTACTTTGACATATTTGATTTTCAGTAGATAATGATAATTTCATCCTAAGCCAAGAAATAGACTATCATTAATTTTTAGATATTTTAGATATTCCTGTTTATGTTATTATTCTCAGTGTGCTTCTGTTGCCTTTTTTGTAATGTTATTTTGCTTTGGGCTAGAAATCTCATACACTCTAAATGCTTAAATATTCTCATACTGTATTTTTTCCCAAATTATGTTTTTTCCAAATGATATTGAGCACTGTAAAGATACCTTCTTTTAAAACTCACACTTTCTAAAACATATTTAAATGATTTAATCCTTTAATTTGGCTTTCAAAACATCAAAAATTGAACTATAATTATCTATCAGAATTAAGAATCACAAAAACATGATTTAAATCCTTGCAAGTGTTTTATCTAATCTGACAAGCAAAAATATTAAAATTTGAAAGTAGTAACAGTATAGATTCATATTATTTTTTAAAGAGAATGAGCCTTAGAAAGAAATTGTAGGTAATCCATTTTGACTATGTTCACTTAATCATTTCATTTTTAAAATTAGACTTCATTTTACGATCCAAAAAATCCTCACTAATGTGCATTTTTGGATGTGTTAATTCCCTTTGTCATGAAATGGAAGCCTAAATTTCCTAATAATTTTTCACCACATTAAAATTTATGGAATAGAGAAAAATGAAGTAATTTTGAATTCGAGTGCATGTATTTTATATGGATGCCTTTTTCCCTTTCTTTCTACCTAAGGAAATAGAAAAATTGAGATTAGCACTGAGTGAATGCAGGCAGCATTTGGAACAGGAGCAGCAGAAGGGAGCTGGAGCCAGAGAGGAATGCCTGAAACTGACAGAACTGCTGGGCGAATCCGAACACCAACTGCACCTCACCAGGTACTGCCTAATCTCATTATGCGCCATAGCACCAATTTCATTTCACTAATTTTTGCCACAGGCTTCCAAGCAGTTGTTAGACTTAGTCTTAGTCATTCAATTCACACACAGCTTTCAGGCATATTAACAAAAGTGGGGATGTGGTAAGCAAAACACCCAGACATGTGAATGATAAGTGTGGCAGGGAATTACTGATATATTACAAAACCTTTCATCTACAGTGCTCAAATATTTAGGTAATTCTCTATCAATATAGGAAAAATGACATCTTTCTCCTACCACTACCTCTCTTGTTAATTCTATGTCTAATAAAAATTCTGAACTAAAAAGTCTGAGAAATATATTTAGAAGAATAATCAGATACTATTCATGGTGAAAGAGGCAAAGTAAAAGACACCCTAAGATGCAAGTTGTGATGGAACTTTTACAAAATAAGAAATCTGAGTCCAAATTAAAGGTGGTATATAATTTAAAGATGAAATTGAAGGACACAGCTCATGCTCAAATCAGTATTTATAACAATATGTATACTGTCATAATTTTAAATGGCCCTGGTTCCTTCTTCCAATATGGTGATATGATCCTGAGTGTCATAAAACTTCAGTAAATATGTAGCTCAGCCCTAAATTACAATAAGACTTTAGAAAGCAAGTATTGTTAATTTGCTGTATTGGAAAACCCACACACATACGCAAATAAACACACAGAGAAGAACGTGTAAAACTGAGTAGATATTTCACATTACCATATAAGTAGTTTCGTCTCACTTTTGAGTTTTAGTATGATCTTTCACTTTGCAGGTCAAACCTATGGATTCGTTCAGTTTTTACAGAGAAGTTTGTCAAAACACGTGTGTAAGTTTATGGTATTTGGCTTGGCTCATAAATTAGAAAAACACTGGTCTTCCAATCATAGTAATATGTTGAATTTAAACTATGAAAAGGGGACTGATCCCTTTTACATGAAATGTGACAATGTAATTCTAAGCACGGTATGATAACAGATGGAGGAAAGCACCACTTGCACAGCCTGCATTTGGAGGAAAAAATATTCTAGAGGTTGGTGAACCTCCCAAAGTTTTGGGTTAGTGTTAAGATGCCTCCAGTTCTGTTAAAATCAAAGTTTGTTAAAAACATTTTGTTATGATAATGTTCCAAATGACTTGCCAACTTCCCTCTTAAACAATGAAAGAAAAAGAGAAAGACAGGGGGAAAAAGAAGAGAAAAGAAAATTATTTATATATTTATGCTATCTGAGAAAAATCCCAAGAGATGAAACACTTTCCTGAGAAAAGATTGCTTAATACTGCAGAATAAGAACTGTTCTGTGAATGCTCATTTAAAGTACTATTGTAGAATTGAGAATATAATGTTAACATAGTTCTTGTGGGTATTTAATCAGTTATTTAATCTTAGAAGTTTCGGATTTTAGCTGTATCATGAGAATGCTAATAATTTTTCTTCTCTGTTAGACTTGTATTGAGAATCAACCATTTGTGTACTAAGTACTACTATACCACAGAGATAGGACAGCTTTTAATGTCTCAGTGTGGCTGAGCTTCAGTAAATAAATATTAATGCTGGTTTTGCCCTTTTGTCGTATTCAGAGAGTTAATTTCTGAAGTCACAATCCGTAGAGAGTTTTCTTGTGCAGTGTCAATTTGGACTGTCTGACAAGATCAGTTTCTTGCAAGTAGAGCATATTAAGATGCAGCAACTGCTGAAAATGGACGAGTGGTAACTAATTCCTTTGTTCTTAAGAAAAATGGTTTTGGTTGGCTCCATGGAAAGCTTTTTTCTGTTGCATTTTATTTACAGCAATTCTACAAAAACTTAAACTAGATTTACATGAAATAAAGCTTAATTACTGTTCTTCTAACTGCAGCACTTTTGGTAAGCATTTTGTACTTCTTAGTTTATGTTGATTTAAATTGACACCCATAAGTTTAAAGGTGGCAATTTAAAATGCAAGGAACTGTGTATATATCTCCTTTTGTACTAAATATGCAACTTGGTTATTAAGATAAATATTTCTAATACACTTTTTTGGGATTATAAGATTTTGCTTTTTCTCACTATTCTGAATATTAATTCAGAGTATTTAGGTGCATGACTATGAAAAGTTATAGCTTTCTTTTTTAGGGTTGTTGGTAGGTGCTGTTGAGTTGGTTTTAATTCATACAACCCTGTATAGGGTTTCCAAGAAATGGCTGGTGGGTTTGAACCACTGACCTTGTGGTTAGCAGTCCAGTGCTTATCCCACAGTATGCCATACCAGGACTCCTTTTTCCCTGTAGACCAGTTGAAATAAATAACCCCCAGATAACGTAGGTAATGCTTAAGTATTTAGTCTCAACTCAAACATTTCAGACATGTCCTAAACAAAGTTTAAAATTGAATATGGAAGCTATATGATAAAATAGTGATGAAATAGGGATCCAAATCTTTAGGGACAAAGAAAATTTAAAACTTGGAGTACATATCTGTAGATCAATTTGAAGAAAAATAACCTACTTTTTGATGTTTTCCTTTATTATTCAGTTGGACTTGAAAATAGTAACTAGAAATCCAGTGTTTATGGAGGAACCAAGTGGTATGCATAATATTAATTTATTCAACAAGTATTTACTGAACACTTAATATCTATGAGTACTTTGCTTGGCTCTGAGACTAGATCAATAAGGTTCATTTTCTACACTTAGTTCGCCCACATTTTACTCAATGATCCAGACCTCTGTGTTGCAATATAACCAAGTATGATAATAATGCAATAAGAGAAGTAAAGTTAACATAGGAGCATGTGGGAAGGATGGTTGAATCATTCATTCTGCATCAGAGGTGAAGGTGAGAGTCAGGGAAGGCTTTCTCGAGGAGGATGTACTTGGTAGGAATTTTGATTAATGAGTTCATGAGTAAGACTTATCAAAGTAGGAAAAGTTTTATTGAAATAGCCACAACTAGCCTTTACATGTTACCTATTGCTGCTTTCTCACTAGCAAGGAAAAGTTGAGTAGTTTCAACAAAACCTCAGATGTTTACTATCTGGCGCTTTACAGCAAATGTTTAGCAATCTCTGACTAAGGAGATTCTTTATTTCAAGTAAATCTTTAAGGAACCCTGGTGGCACAGCAGGTTAAACACTGGGTGCTAACTGCAAAGTAGATGGTTCAAAGCTACCAGACACTTTGAGGGAGAAAGATGTGACAATCAGACACCCTACGGAGCAATTCTACTCTGTCCCATAGGATCAGGATGAGTCATAATTGACTTCACCACAGTGGGTTGGGTTTGGTTAATTCAAGTAAGAATTCTAGAGAGCCTGAACTAAGAAAGACAGGTTCAAATGGGTATTTAAAAGGTCATTGAAAATATTGTGAAAAACTAATTACTTAGGGAAAGATAATTGACAGGGGCCAAAAAGATAGTAATGAAGTCTGGATTCTGTCTCAGTAAAATGAAAATGAGAAAGGAAGTTGCATATTTAAGAACTATTTAGGGTAGCAATGTTGTTGTTGTTAAGTACCTTTGAGTCAGTTCTGACTCATAGTGATGCGGTATATGGTTTCCGTGCCACACTAGAATCCCAGTACAGAATTAAAGGTGACTCCAGAGTTACCAGAGCTCTGGTAGCATAGTGGGTTACAAGTTGAATTGCTAACCACAGTAGTTCAAATCTACCAGCCACTCTGTGGGAGAAAGATGAGGCTTTCTGTTCCCATAAAATGTACAGCCTCAGAATCCCTATACAGGGTTGCTGTGAGTAGAAACTGACTCCACAGCATACAACCACAACCATAGTTTTAGCCTAAATTGACTGGATGTTCCACTAACCCAACTAAACCAAACCTAGTCCCACTGCCACTGAGTTAATTCTGCCTCTTATTGACCCTGTATAGGCTTCTGAGGCAGTAAATCTTTATGGGAGTGAAAAGTCTCATATTTTGCCCGTGGAGAAAGAGTGGCTGGTGGGTTTGAACTGCTGACTTTGTGGTTAGCAGCCCATTGCTTATCTTGTAGTACACCACAGCTCCTTAATAAGCCAACTAATGGTTGGTGGTTATGTGCTGTGTAGTCAGTTCTGACTCATAGCAACTCTGTATAGATCGTCCAACGCTGTAAATTTTTATGGGAGCAGAAAGCCTCATCTTTCTCTCACAGAACCGCTGGTAGTTTCAAGTTGCTGACCATGAAATTAACAGCCCAACTCGTAACCACTACGCTAACAGAGTTCCTTATTAATCTGACTAGGGAGCCTAAAAGAATTAATCAGAGGAAAATAATGAGTTGTATTTTGGAAGTCAATAGAGATGACCAGTAATAGATCTGATGTGAAGAGAAAGGTCATGACTAGAGACCTGGATCTGGTCACTTTTACATGGAGGTACTCATTGTATCCAAGGGATTGAGTGAAATCACATAGAGTACTACGTTTTAATAGTAAAACCACCAGCACAAAAAACTGGACTAGAGCCTTCAGATCTATATTAAAATAATCTACTGTTAAGGGGAATTATTCAAAGGATGCTTTGGCTAAGTAGCAATTAAAAACATTTGCCTTTCTTCTTAGCAGAGGCCCCCAGTTTGCCTGGGGTTGAAAAAACTTAACTTTTAGGATATTTTATCATGATTTCACTATTTTTGCAACTTTTGACAAATTACTTAATTCTTCAAGCATGCTGACTTGGTGTGGTTGTTGTTGTTGTTAGGTGCCATCTAGTCGGTACTGACCCATAGCGACCTTATGCACAGCAGAACGAAACACTGCCCAATCCTGGGCCAACCTCACTACTGTTGTCACGCTTGAGTCCATCGATGCTGCCAATTGGTGTGGTGCATAGGATAAACACGAAACTAATAACCAACCACAAGGTTGATGGTTAAAACCCACCAGTTAGTCCTTGGGAACCTTATACTATGAATCAGAATCGACTTGACATCACATAACAACAACAGCAAGATGATTTTACATTTTCTTTTAGTTCTGATGGTCAAGGATTTTAA